GACTTTTGTATGGTACGGTCACTGTCGTAACTGAACAGAGACAGCTTGCACTAGCATCCACGATTAGAGGGGCGCTAATCGCGAGTCACGAATCGCAATGAAGAAGTCGAGACTGAAGCTGCTTCGCATTGACCCACTCTTGCGAGTGTCGTCACGGCAAGACGCGAAATGTAAGCTAGAGGTCGTACGTGCCCAGTGACTGTTGAGTCTGCTACTCAAATCAAGCCCAGAATGCGAATCGACCAGGCGCATTTTGGCGCATTTAATTTGGGGGGAGACCGCAGGCGCGTTCGAAGGAGCGAGATGTGTTTGAGAAAGCAGATGCCTCAGATATCGCTCGCAACCTCTGGGTGGTGTAGCGAGAAGGGCAAGTCGTGAGTCCCTTCGATGTCTGCTGTCACAGTTGTACCGTCTGAGTAGTCACAGTAGGCTACAATCTTGAATCTGTGTTGATGGCCCGGAAGCGAGGTGCGAATCAATTTGGATGCATGTGAATGCCTCAGAAAGAGCAGCAAGCTGAGCAATACCGTACACAATTTCAATCTGAAATGTGACGCTCCAGGTCCAAGTTCACTTCAAATTCAGTCATCCGGTACTCGATCGCTGAGTTGTTCAAGTCTAGCGGTCTCGTACTTTTAACAGAGAAGAGAGAGTTGGTTGACCGCTGTGGTTGGACGATTCATGATGGATCGAGGTCGCTCAGCTGCGCAGCAGCAGCCTCGCTTCACTGTGACTGCCAACAGGCTGCTCTGGTGGTACGTACGCGGCTGCTGGCGAGCACGGGCGGTCGGTTGCGCCGCTCTACGGAGCACGCGCTGCAGACACTCGTGACTGTTGTAATGTACCAAGCCACGTCATGCAGCCCTCTCCAGGTTGGAGGACGCTAAGTGGGCGCGCTAGACGCGGGCGACCTGTCTGGCCTGAGCTTGCGGGGAAATGGGCGCATGGCCGACTTTGCTAGCTAGCTGCTACTCCGACTTCCGGCTCACGTCTCGCTTGCTCGCTGGCTTCTGGAGAGCCAGTTGTGAGTGATGAGCTGCAGAGCGAGCTAGAAGATTCAGTGATTGGGAAAGGATTGGATAGACATACCCTTTTCCCTCTCAGCTCTGCACTGGTATTTAGAGACGCTGCGGCATGAGAGACTTGTAAGACAAGAGCGCATCATGACTGGGGAAACGGCGCGGGGACTGTGATCGATGCTCTTACCCTGCAGTTCAATCGCGAGTGAGTATGTACTGTACCTACCTGTTCAAGCTGATGATGACATCCGTACGGTGGACAGGCAGGCGTGGTGTGGCACAACTGCGAGGCTGCAGCGGACCGCTCTGGAGCAGCGCGCGTCAAAGCCAGACTTGCCCCGCCTTTGAGACGAGACTCGCATGCATCAAGCAACAGCGAGCAGCAGCAGCTGCATGGACCTGAGCAATCCATCCATCCGGCTTCCAGATAAATAATAAGTCGTCGCGGAGTGTGTGCACTTACTTGATCATCACAGGCGTGCTTACCGTTCTTGGGCCTTGACTTGCCTTGCTCTTCTTCCTTGCTTCTTCCTTTGCACCACGCCATCCGCTCCATAATCAACCTCATCACTTCGAAGCACCTTGCTCGCGCACTGA